GCTTCCTGGTCTGGTGAGCGCCCCCCTCGCTGTGCTGACCTGTGTTGAGGTCTCCTGTGCTCAGCAGCATTCCAAATGCTTTACGTGCATTCACTTATTTTATCCTCACCACCCCTCTGAGCCCCAACTTACAGATAAGGCTTAGGGCATTTAATTTGCCCTGGTCTTACCACCTATGCCATCTGAAGCTGGACCCTGTGCTTTAAACCCGTGGGCTATTCTGCAGTAAACCAAGGACTGAAGCAGACAGCTTGGTCCTTTTTCTTTTTTCTCCTTTTCCCTTTCTTTTTTTTTTTTTTTCCTCTAAGCCAAGTTATACATTTGAAAATTTATTATTATTATTATTATTATTATTTACATTTGAAAATCTAAATACGACAACCCTGGTGGACTTCCTGAAATTTCCCCAAACTGGACCTACATATTTACCTATCTCTGCGTTTTCTTTCACCTTCCCATTCCTCCTTTCTCTTCCTGTTGATCTCATCCTTCACCTCTCGGCTCCAAGTGCCAATTCTCTGAAAAACTTACCTGGTTTCCTCTCAAATCAGAATTAATCTCTCTGTTCTCAGGTGCCCTTTGTTTAAACTTCATTTTTGGCACTTGCCTCACCCTGCCCGGGTGAGTCACTTGAATGTTTGTCTACCTCCCCAGCTGAGCCAGAGCTTTGGGACTTGGGGCTGAGCGGCGCCAAGGAGCCTGAACTTTGCAGCACTTAGTAGGTGCTCGGGGTTGCAGAAGCCAGATACTTTTTTTTGGTTTTCTTTTTAGGCGTCCTGAGTTGCGGTTGGCGGCCCTTTCTTGGGAGGCGGCCCCCACCCCACCTGCCCCCGCCGACGTTGGGCAGTGGCCGCAGGCCGCGGGGGCCTCGGGCGACACTGGCCTCGGCCCAGGTTCCCGGCCTCTAACTGCTGCCCGGGAGCTGGAAAAACACTGGCGGCCGCCCCACCCCCAGGCCGCGGGAGGGGGGAGGGGGTGCTCTGCGGCCGGGCCTGCCTGCTGCCTGGGCGGCGGGGGCGGGCGGGGGCCGGGGCCGGCCGCCTGCCTGTCAGCGGGAGCGGGCGCGGGCTCGTGTGTCGGCCTCCCCGCCCCGCGGCCTCCCCCGCGGCCTCCCCCCGCGGCCTCCCCCCAGCCTCCCCGCCCCGCGGCCTCCCCCGGCCTCCCCCCGGCCTCCCCCCGGCCTCCCCGCCCGGCGGCCTCCCCCGGCCTCCCCCCGGCCTCCCCCGCGGCCTCCCCCGGCCTCCCCGCCCCGCGGCCTCCCCCCGCGGCCTGGCAGGTTGCCGGCTGCACAGGCGGGGGTTCGCGCGGTTCTCACGACCTCTCAGGTTGCCTGAGCTCATCTGGGAGCTATTCATTTCCTGCCGGAGAGCAGCCGGGCCTGCTGAGCAAACCACCTTGGCCGCGGGGCCGCCCGGCGTGGCCGCCCTGCCTGCTCCCTCCCGGGCCGCGGACGCGAGCCCGGCGGCCTCCCTGGAGCCCGGGCCGCCCGGCGGGGGCGGCGGCGGGGGCGGCGGCGGGGGCGGCGGCCCATCTGGTTGCACTTAGGGCCGAGGAGGAAGCTAGCGGCGGCTGTTACCGGCCAAGGGGTGTGGGAAAAGTTAATGGACTTTAATGACAGGTTTCCCGGGACGCTGGTGACGACGAGGGGGTCCAGCCTACCGCGGGCCCCCAGCCCAGAAACACGCGGGCCGGGAGGGGGCGCGCGGGGGCGCGCGTGTTCACGGGGGGCGGGGGAGGCTGGGGGGCGCCACCCCGCGGCCCAGCGCCCCCCCACAGCCCCTGCCCGCCCCCGAGACCCAGCACCCGCCCCACGGCCCCTGTCCCCCCGCCCGGCCCAGCGCCTCCCCAACCCGTGGCCTAGTGCCCCCTCCCGGGCCCCTGTCCCCCCCCCAGCCCCTGTCACACACACCCCGCGGCCCAGCGCCCTCCCCCGCAGCCTCTCTCCCTCCCCACCCCCCCGCGACCCAGCGCACGCCCCGAGGCCCAGTGGCCCCCCCACGGCCCCTGTCTCCCCCCCCACGGCCTCTGTCCCCCCCAGCCCTGTCACACCCTCCCCGGCAGCCCAGCACCACCCCCCACAGTCCAGCGCCTCCCCTCGCCCCCACCCCCCGCAGCCCAGTGCCCCCCCTGTGGCCCAGAGCTACCCCCCATGGCCCCTGTCCCCCCCCCCCCGCAAAGCCCAGCACCTCCCCCCCGCGGCCCAATGCCCCCCAGCAGCCCCTGTCCCCTCCCCCGAGACCCAGCACGCCCCCCCCCACGACCCAGCGCCCCCCCCCCCATGGCCGAGCGGCTCCCCGCACGGCCTATCTCCCACCCGGCGGCCCCTGTCCCACCCTCAAACTCTCCCCCACAGCCCAGTGCCTCCCCCACAGCCCAGCACCTCCCCTCCCCCTGCCCCCGCGGCCCAGCGCCCCCCTCCCGCAGCCCCTGCCCCCCCCCCTCACCACACCCTACCCGGGGGGGCCGAGCGCCCTCCCCCTCGGCCCAGTGCCTCCCCCCACAGCCCAGCGCCTCCCCTCCCCCCCACCTGCTCCCTTCGCGGGGCCCAGCGCCCCTCCCCGCCCCCAGGGAGGCGGCCCGGACGGCAGGGGGCCATGGCCCTGAGGGCCTCCATTGACAGGGTAATGCGCCCGGCAGCCTCCCGGGTGGCCCGCATCCGGACGGACGCGGGGCTGGGAGCTGGGCCGCTGGGCCCTATCTCCGGGAACCATTGGGACTGCCTCGGGTGGGGGGGGGGGGACAGGGGCCGCGTGGTGTGCCCCGAGGCCGAGGCCGTAAAACCAGGCCAGACCGGGGTGGGGGTGGCTGGCCAAAGTCGCAGTCGTCTTTGAAGCTTCACCACCCCCGCCCCCACCCCCGCCCCGCCCCGCCACCCCGACTAATTACTCCAGAAACAGCCTGGGTGCAGGAGGGCACAAGGTCTTAGAAATAAACCCACTCATTTTACGGACCTGGAAATGTCCCAGATAAGGGAAGTGACTCATCCAAAGTGACACAGCCAGTTCAGTGGTGCAGCTGGCACGGGAGCCTGAAAGTTCCCATTGGGGCCTAGGGTGTCACCCTTCTCTCCACATTGTACGGAAACAAATGCCTCCTCTAAGAGTCTAGACCCAAATTCCAAGAAAAAAATAAAAAAGACGATTTTCAAATTATCAGAAGAGCAAATATTTACTTCTTTTCCTTAAATTTATTACTTCCTCCCCCAAGAAATTTATGTAGTTTTGATGAATAGAATTCACTTTAATTAATTTAAAGTTGGTGTAGAGATTCCGCTGTGTGTGTGTGTGTGCGCGCACGCGCGCGTGCATGCGCAGGTCTGTGGCTTCTTAAAGAACATAAATGTATTTTTATAAAAAGGAGACCCTGATGTCTCCATTATTTATGCCAGGACAGTTCAGGGCTTCTGGGGCTCCAGAGGACAGGTTTACCAAATGCAGCACTCAGGCTTGTGTTGGATGTCTTAATAGAGCAATTGCTATTTTGTTTGTGTTCAAACAAGAGAGAAATCATGGAAAAATGGTACAATAAAGCAGGGTGTGTGTACATGTGCGTGTACTTCTCGGGGTGGGTGTTGGACACCTTTCACATAATGAGGCAAGTAGGGGCCAAATTTTAAAAAATATCTTTGAAAACTCTCCCTCTGCGTCCAAAGCTGGGTCGGTCGAAGGTATTTGGGTAGAAAAGTGCTGTCTGCTGGCTAGATCATTCCCGCGATACGGCCGCTCTCCACGCTGGCCTGTGGGAAAGGCCGGAGCAAGGCGGGGGAGAGGTAAAGCTTTTGAAACAAGACAGAAAATCGTTGGCTTTATCTTTGTTAGGAAGGCTTCAAAGATTGATTTCTCCCGCCTCATCCTTCTCCTCCCAGAAGCCGGTCTAAAAGAAGGGGGATGAGAGGAGGCTGGCGGGAGGGGCCGGGCAGGGAGGAGGACTGGCCGGCGGTGGGGGAGGAGGGCGCGCCCGCCAGACCCACAGCGCGGCTGATGTGTCTGGTCTCGCAGGGCTCGTGGTTTTCATTTCCCCAACACCTGGATGCAGTCAAACACCTGGCCAAATCTGACAAAATCTGACAAGCCTTTGTGATGGGATTTGGAAGAAATTCCCTGCAGATCCTGGCACAGTTTAAAGCTGTCCGCTTTGAGTTAGGACTTGTTAAGGAGGGTTATGTGAGCTGAAACCCGAGACAACCCTTCTGCTTCTATCTGGAGCCCACATCTTGCCTGGAAATGGGGCATGACCAAGCGAAGGGGTCGCTTGCTGTTTGTATTAAAGGGAAGATGGCCTGTGTGCCTGCCAGCGCGGCCCCCACATGCTTTCTCTATTAGAGCCAAGCGCAGAAACTTATCAAAAACATATGTCTGGTGTTAATCATCTGGACTTGGGCTCCACTTGGGAGTCTAACTAGCTGTCCCCTGGCAGAAGGAATCTGTTGACCTTCTCAGCTTGCTTGAAGAGGGTGCAGAGAGGCATTTTCAAACTTTTGGATGCCGGTACAAGGGACTGCGCAGCTAGCTGCACCTATGTACTGAGTAAACGGGCTCCAACGCTTGAGGGCCGGAGGCTGCATCCGGTTTCCTTTGGATGTCGGTGTGCTACCCCAGGGAAGCGGCGCCACGGGGGTCTCACTTACTGTGTGGTGGGCACGCATTACTCGATTGATTGACTTCAGTCTGGTCCAGCCTTCTTCAGAAGGAGCTGGAAGGAAAACCAGGACCGAATGATTTACCCAACTGCAACTAAAAAAAAAAAAAAAAAAAAAAAATTGAAATCCTATTTAAGAGATTGACCGCAAATTGATCAGAGTACCCATATTAGACGGGTTCTTGCAAATTAAGTGGAGTTTACTTCATGGAGGCCGGTAAAAGGTCTGCTGGATTTTTAAAAATGTTCTTTTAATAACAAAAGAGCCAATGACTGAATTCTCAGATTACATGTAATCCACAAATTCTGCCAAGAAACTTTTTTTTTTTTACATATATACCGAAATAATCAGTTCAAAGACATAGGAGCCTTCACTTTTTTCTTTTATTATATTTTCTCAGATAAACTTCCCAAAGGGAAGATATTTTAAGAGCATTTTCAAACATCTTTGGCATCACATAAAAAAAGAAATCTCGTGTAAAAAACGAAATGTCATCTGAGTTTTTTTATAATACAAAGGCGCAATCCAATATGAACATATAAAATATATACAAATATAGTGCATGGTCAGTCACTTAATACAGCTCTCTACAAAAAAAAGTAACTTTTTAGAAATTAAAAAAAAAGAAACAAAGTAACCGCTTGATCATTACAGTCCTCTGGTCTCCCAGTGTCCAAGTTCCTGTTGAGTGTCCCCGGGGCGGGGCAGGGCAGGGCAGGGCAGGGCAGGGCAGGGGAGGGTGCCCGGGCCTTCAGTTCCTCCAGGGCCGCCACATGGAGTCCGCCGTGAGCGAGGGGCCGCTGGAGGGCGAGCCGGCGCCGGGGCCCACGGAGGCGCCGCTGCCGCTGGTGTAGACGGGGATGACCGGGCCGCTGTGGGCGAAGGCCCCGCTGGGGATGAGGAAGGCGAACTGGCCGTCGGGCGCCGGCAGCACCTGGAAGCCGCCGAACACCTTGGCGGCCTCCCCGGCCGGGCTGCCCAGCTTGCAGGGCGCACCGCCGGGAGGGGGCGCCGCGCCCCCGGGGATGGGCACGAGCGGCGGGGGCGGCGCGAACGGCGCGTGCTGCGGGCCTCCGGGGCCGGGCGGGGGCGGCGGCGGCGCCTGCAGGGCGGGGTGCGGCTGCCCGGGGTAGGTCATGGCGTTGATCTGGGTCATGCAGTTGGCCAGGTGGCCCAGCAGCCGCGTGCGCACCTCGGTGTTGACGCCCTCGCACGTGGACAGGAAGCGGGTCACCTCGTTCATACACTCGCTGAAGCCGGCGCGGTACTTGCCCAGCACGCTCGGGTCTGTGCTCAGCGCGGCTGCGGGCAGAGGGGGCGCGCGGGTCACCCGAGGCCCCGGCCCGCCCCGCGCGGACCACCCGGTGGGGAGGGGAGGGGAGGGGAGGGGGAGGGGGAGGGGGCCCTGCACCTCTGCTCCCGCCCCCGCGCTAGTGACCTTGGGCAGCGCCCTTCCCCCTCCGCGCCGCCCGGGCCTGGCTCCTGCAGGGCGGGGGGGGGGGAGGGGGGCGGCCAGGGGACCCCGGGCTGCGCGCCCCGCGCCCCCCCTGCCCGCCGGCCCGCGGCGCCCCCCCCCCTCCGGAACACTAACAACTTGGAGCCGCGGCTATAAATAAGCCCAGACCGTGGGAACGCGGGGCTGAGCCAAGGCAGTAAAACGCAGCTGAATGCCTCTCTCCACCGCGGGCGGAAGTCTGGGAGGGGTCGCCGCGGGGCGCACGGGGCGCCCCCAGGGGACGCGCAGCCGCCTCACCCGTCATCTGCGCCCGCTGCAGGTTCCGGAGGTGCTTCACTGTCATTTCCAGAATGTCCGCCTTCTCCAGCTTGGAATGCCGCGAGCTCTGCACACAGCAGGAGGCAAGGCACGGACGTGAGGGCCCCGCCGGCGGCCCCGAGACGCGGGGTCACCCCCTCCGGAGGCCCCGAGACCCGGGGTCACCCGGCCGGAGGCCCCGAGACCCGGGGTCACCCCCAACGGCGGCCCCAACACCTGGGGTCACCCCCAACAGCGGCCCCGAGACCTGGGGTCACCCCGCCGGCGGCGCCGACACATGTGGACCCCCCGCCAGCAGCCCCGAGACCTGGGGTCACCCCCAACGGCAGCCCCGAGACCTGGGGTTTCCCCCGCCCCGGCCGCGGCCCCGACACCTGGGATTCCCCCCCCCCGCCCCCCGACATCCGCAGACCCTGGAGGGGCCCGGCCTCCAGCCCCGAGACCGCAGTGCGGGCGGGGACGATCCCGCCAGCGAGGGGGGTTCGCGCTCAGTAGCCCAGAAATGGGATTTCATTTTAATTGAAAGAGAGAGAGAGAGAGAGAGAGAAAAAAAGCAGCATTACCCACTTACATCTTTCTTAAGAGCATCCAAAATCAGTGTTTTCAGCTGGCTCAGACTTTCATTTATCCTTGCTCGTCGTCTTTTCTCCATGATAGGCTTGGAGGACTGCGAAGAAATTATCTCTCTATCTATGTATGTTTCTTTACAAAGCGCCCCGAGTTCCCCCTGGGATCTGCCGCTTCACCCCGGGGTTAGGAGAAGGCCCCCCCCCCCCCCCGCCCGACCTGGGTCTCGGGCTGCAGGGAGAGCGGCGCTGCCCTTACCTTCCTGTGCTCGGACGCTGTCTTTGGTTTATCCGGTGTCGTGTTGACACTGGCCGGGGTAGCAGCCACCGGGGACGAGGAGTTTTTCTCCATTATATCAGCTGGCATTTTCTGTTGCTTTTTTTTTCTCTCCGAGTCCCTAGAGAATCTTATTTTTGGAGCCCTTCACACACACACACACACGCAAAAAACCGCTTTGTTTATGTCCCTTTCACCGGAGGCCTCCGCGGGACGACTGAGCAAGTGCTGGGGGTTACGGTACGGTCTTAGGGCCGCTCGGCGGCCGGCAGCGCTATTCCAGGACCAAGGAGAGAGGTAGACGGGGGACCCCACTGTTGTCGGCACCGGCTCCGGATCCTGTGTGATCCCCGCGCCCTGGCGGCCTCTATATATATCTGGGACTGCACGCGAACGGCTCGTGTGAAACTTCCCAAACTTTCTTTCCCACAGTAACTTTCAGCCAATGGCAGGAGGAGACACGCGGCACCGCTCGTGGGCCGCGCCCCCCCATTGGCCGCCGGGCACAAGGCCTGGCGGCCAATGGCGCGCGCCCGAGCCCGGGGCACCGGAGGCTACAACGTCAATCAAAAGGATTTTAACCCTTTGCTCTCCTCCCCGCTGCGCTTTGCTTTAGAGGGGATTTTTCCGCAGGTTTCGCCCCAGTCTAATTCATTTCTTTTGGGGCCAGAGTCTCTGCTCTTTATTCCCTTCCACGTGTAGCACAGAGCTGCTCTGGCACTAATAAGGACTTCATTGGCAATATATATATATATTTTTTAAAAAAGGATTTAGAAGGACAGGGAGGAAAGAGGAGACCGTGTGCAAGGGCGTGAGTTACCGAAACATCCAACTGAGTCACTACACATCGGGGCGAGGAGGGAGATGTAAAATCGATCATGCAGAGAAGAGGCAAAAATATCTGTGTTTTTTTGCATACGGAAAAAGGAAAGGTGCCTCCCACCTTACGCGAGCGAGTTTCCAGAGCAAGATGTTTTTATTTTTCTGCAACTCCCCCCTCCCCCCTCCCCCCTCCCCCCCCCCCCCGCGCGCCCCGCGCGCCCCTCGTTCCTCTTCTGCACTTGGGGCCTTGGATCCCGCGCTTCCCCAGGAAACAATCAGAATAATTTCCAACCGGGCAGAAAGGAAATGGAATTTCAAATGAAAGATGAACAAGAGGGGCTTTGATGGCGGGGCCCCAGGCCCGCGCGCGCGCCCTCGCCCTCCGTCCCCTCCCGCCCACGGGCCCCCGGGCGGCGGCCTCCGCTCCCCCTCCCCTCCCCTCCCCTCCCGTCCCCTCCCCTCCCGCCCCGCCCCTCCCCCGGCGGCCCCCGGCGCGCGCGGGCCCTTTAAGAGCCGCCGCCGCCGCCGCGCCGCGGTTGACATCAGCCGGCCGGGAGGGCGCGCCCGGGGCCGGAGCACGTGCCAGGATGTTTTATTGCGGCGGCGGCGGCGGCGGCGGCGGCTGCGGCGGGGCCGGAGGACGTGCGAGTGCGTGTGCGACTGCGTGTGCGAGCGCGGGCGCGAGAGCGGGTGCGCGCCGGGGGGCCCGGGCGGCCGAGAGCAGCTGCTGCGCCCGAGCCTGGGAAAACCCCGCCCCTGCGCCCGGCCGGCTCGTCGGCGCGCGCGGCGGCGGGGGTGCGTGTGTCCGGGCGGGGCGGGGCGGGAGGGGAGGGGCGGGAGGGGACGGAGGGGAGGGAGGGGCGGCGCGGGGCGGGGCGCGCGGGCCAAGGTCGGCCTTCCGGGCGGGGGCGGGGGCGGGGGCGGCGGGCTCACCCCACTCACCGCCCCCCCGCACCCCGACCCGGGCTGGGGCTTCCAGGCGGAGGGGGGCGGGCGCGGGCGCGGGCGCGGGCGGGCGCTCCTGGTGGCTGCCCTGCCCTGCCCTCCCCTCCCCTCCCCTCCCGCCTCCCCCCTCCCCCCCCCCCCCCGCGGGGCCCCGGCGCCCGCCGCGGTCACGAGATGCCTGACCGCACTTAGGAAGCGGCCGGGCGGCCTCCTGCCTCCGCTCGGCGGCTGCGGTCACCGCGGCTTCGCGCCCCCGCCCCCGCCCCCGCCCCCGCCCCCGCCCGGCGGCTCCCCCTCGCTGCGCCCCGGAGGCCCGGGAGGCGGCCGGCGGGCGGCCGGGAGGAGGCGGGCGGCGCGGGCGGCTGCGTGCTGCCGGCTGGCCGGGCCGCGCGCCGGGAGGAGCCGCCGCCGCCGCCGCCGGGTGCCACGTGGCGGGCGCCGGGCCGGGAGCGCCGGGGCTCTGCGGCCGCCTCCCCGGGGACCTGCCTGCCGCGCGGCCCGGCGGCGCGCTCGGCCCCCGACGCCGCCCCCGCGCCCCCCACCCCCTCCACCCTGCCGGCGCCCGGGTCCCCTCCACCCTGTGTGCGCCCCCACCCCCTCCACCCCGCGAGCCCCCCACCCCCGAGCCCCCCCCACCCTGCGCGCCCCCACCCCCCTCACCCCGCGAGCCCTCCACCCCCGAGCCCCCTCCACCCTGTGTGCGCCCCCACCCCCTCCACCCCACGAGCCCCCCACCCCCGAGCCCCCCCCACCCTGCGCGCCCCCACCCCCCTCACCCCGCGAGCCCTCCACCCCCGAGCCCCCTCCACCCTGTGTGCGCCCCCACCCCCTCCACCCCACGAGCCCCCCACCCCCGAGCCCCCCCCACCCTGCGAGCCCCCACCCCCCTCACCCCGCGAGCCCCCCACCCCCGAGCCCCCTCCACACTGCGCCCCCCCTCCCCCCACCCCCGCCGAGCCCCCCCCCCCCCCCCGAGCCCCCCCCCACCCCCCTCCACCCCCCGCGAGCCCCCCATCCCCGGGCCCCCTCCACCCTGCGCGCCCCCCGCGCCCCCACCCCCCTCACCCCGCGAGCCCCCCACCCCCGGGCCCCCTCCGCCCCGCGAGCCCCCCGCGCCCCCACCCCCCCACCCCGCGAGCCCTCCACCCCCGAGCCCCCTCCACCCTGCGCGCCCCCCGCGCCCCCACCCCCCTCACCCCGCGAGCCCCCCACCCCCGGGCCCCCTCCACCCTGCGCGCCCCCCCCACCCTGCGCGCCCCCCGCGCCCCCACCCCCCTCACCCCGCGAGCCCCCCACCCCCCGGCTCCCTCCACCCTGCGCGCCGCCCGCGCCCCCACCCCCCTCACCCCGCGAGCCCCCCACCCCCGTGCCCGCGCCCCCCACCCTTGCGTCCCCACCCCCTCCTCGCCGGCCCCGGCCCCGCCCCCGCCCCCCCCCCCCGCCCCTCCACCCCTCCACCCCGCCCCCCGGGCTCGGCGCGCTGCTCGGACGCTGGGGGGCCCGGGAGCCGGCGTCCGTTTGCTGGCGCCCCCCCACCCCCCTCCCAGCCCCGCCGCAGGCCTGGAGGCCGCCGGAGGCCTGGCACACGGTTCCCAGACACTTCATTCCTTCCTTCCTCCGAGCTCCCCGCTGAGATAATGTTGTAAACGCTTCCACCCTCTCCCCGCTTCCACCCTCTCCCCGGCCGAGCAGCTTCGCGGCCGCCTCGGGACCTCCGCGACGACGCCCCCCTCCCCCGCGCGCAGCGCCCGCTCCGTGCCAGGCGCCCTGTTGGGCCCGGGGTTACCGGCAGGACGGGTGCCCTGGCCGGCGGCGAGGAGCTTGACTTTCTGATGACCGGGCTTGGCCCTGTAGTCCTCCCCGGGCCTGGATGGCGGCCTGCGGGGTCAGGAGAGCCTAAGGAGGCCCTAAACACTGGCCTGGGCGCTGTTGCCCGGGGACCCCAGGAGGCCGGCAGCGCCCAGACCCCACGGCGACTCTTTCGCACTACAGGCCTCTCGCAGGTTCGGGAGAGACATGTGTGCTCCAGACAGAAGTAAGGTGCTCGGGAGGTCTAGGATGATGAGTCCATCACTAATAAGTGGGTGCATCCTGGAATGTTTCCAGGAGGGGATCTTGAAACATAGGTAGGATTGGGCCCCTGGAAATGTGGGTCATGGGGCTAGGGGGTGGGATGGGAGGACCCCATGGCACTAAAGCCCTACAGTCTGGAACTTGAGGTCGTGATTCAGAGAACGCGGTCTGGAGTCCAGGGTGTAGGGCCGGCAGGAGGAGGCAGGAGGAGGCGTGAGGCCAAGTCACAAGACCCCTAAACATCCTGCGAAAGGATTTTAGCCTTATCTCTAGACAATGGAGAGCAACGAAAAGCTCTTGAATAGAGCAGGGGCATCAGGGTTCTCCTGCAGAAGGGTGGCTCCGGCAAAAGTGTGGAGCGCGGATCGCAGGATTTAGAGGCAGAGAGCCCAGCTAGGAGGTTCAGGCCGGTCGAGGAGGTTCCCGAGCGCCAGGTGTACACTGACACTCACCCGGAAGCACCTGCCCAGAACCAGCTCACCCGGGCGTTGACTGCACCCTGTCCAGTGACCCACGCGCAGCAGAAACCTGCCTACCCTTTCCTGCCACGTTCCCCCCCCCCCCCCAAGACCTGGAGTCTAAAGTCATTTGACTCTGACTGGATTTACCTTCCAAGCGTCATTTCCACCTTCCAGGACAGCCCTCGAGTCTGCAGCCAAACCTTTACCTCATTGCAGGCTTGGTTTACTCACTCTTGCCCCTCGGGCTACTCTCTGGGATTTTTCTGTGTTTTCTTAACACACTGCAGAGTGGGCTGTGCCCTATCATGTTCTGAAGAAATGATGAACAATGTCTCCTTTGTTGACCTGCACCCTGGGCCACTGGGACAGGACTTTTTTTATTTTAAGCAGATGGAAAGGTGGCGATGACAGAAAATTGTCTGTTGCTTTTGAAAAAAAAAAAAAAAGTAGAGTTTCCCTGTGTATTCGAAATCCTCTTGGTGAAAGGTGAGGAGCTCCGAGGTCACCCTCCTCCTTTCTGCCATGCAAACTTTGCAAGCTTCTTAAAATGCTCTGCTCAGCATCTGACTTTTTAAAAACTGCATAAATACTCTGACCCAGATTCTTCCAAGGAACTAAAACCTTCCCAGGGAAGCATGTTAACCCTTCCTGGGTTATGAGAGCCACTGACTTCCTCCCCCGAGTCCTGCTATGACGTTGACTGCGGTCTACTGTCGGGCCGGCTAACTACCTGGGTGTGCCACCCTTGGCCGGCAGGCCCGAGTCTTTGTTGTTTCTGCCTCCGGCGTCTCCTCCGCATTTGGCTGAAGGTGCGCGGAGAATGTTGGATGCGGATGCCGTCAGGTGAGGGTCTCTGCTGTGCCTGAAGCAGCCCTCGCGGGTCAGATAGTTAATCAGCAACTCTTTTATTGCCACTTTAGGAGTGCTTAGACTGGTAGAGTGAGCAAATAACCTAAACGCACACACACACACACACACACATTTTTTAAGAGACAGAGGGGTCAGTCAAGTAACCAGAAATTTGCCATGAGTTTGTCTCTGGGCCGAACAGACAAACAAACAA